GTTACCACCGTCCTAGATCTGGGCCATTCTAATAGACGTGTAGTAATGTCTCGTGTGTAGCAATACCCATAGTTGTTCTACTCATCATTTCCCTGATGACAGATGGTGTGGAGCATCTTTTCATATGCTTGCTTGCTATCTATAGATCTTTGGTGAGGTGGCTGTTTAAGGTCTGTGGCTCATTCTTAATCAGGTTGTATTTTGGTTGTTAAGAGTTTTTTTAAAAAACATTTTGAATACCAGTCCTTTATCGATATGTCTTTTGCAAATATTTACTTCTAATCTATGGCCTGTTTTATTTTTTGACCTATATTTGTCTTTTGCAGAGCAGATGTGTTTAATTTTAGGGAAGTCCAGCTTACCAATTATTTCCTTCATGTTTGAAATTTGTTTTTTTGACTCATTGTTTTCCATTTCACTCTGCTAAAGATTGCTGTCCCCTCAGCATCCTGCTGCCTGGAAGAGGCGACTAATTGGAACTTCCCTTCTGTTCTTTCCCCTGGCATCGATGCCAATGCCTTTTCTATAGATCCCACCGAATTGCTATTAGCATTAAACAAGGTAATGTTTTTGAACAGATTTTGGAAACTGAAAGCAGCTGTACACGTCAGGTGGCATTACCGGTCTCTTGATAGCACACGCACAGTCTCTTGCACATGCAAACACTTGCATGTTAAAAAGAGACTAATTTCTCATTACAGCTGATGCTAGTTAATTTCAGGATACTAGTTAAAAAGAGACAAATTTCTCATTACAATGGACAGTATTCTTTGGAATCTAAGAGATAAGAAGCAGCAAACATCATTTTTAATTCCAGAGGTTGTCAACCTTCACTATCTTAGGGAGAGTGTGGGTCTATTTCAGTGCCTTTGTCTCTGCAAGCACCAAGAATTATTTTGTGATTTTGCACGATTTCCCCAATTTATGTTGGTCTCGTGCTCCAGGTTTTTCTCTCCATTTACTTTGACATAACTAAATAACACTGCAGTGTACTTGGAATAATTGAAAGCAACAAAAGAAAACAGAGAGAAATGGAGTGGGAGGGGGGAGAGGAAGAGGGGGAAAGGGGAGAGAAGAAAGAGGGGGAGAGAGGGAAAGGGGAGGAAGAGGGGAGGAGGGAGGGAGGGGAGGAGAGGGAGAGAGGAGGAGGGAGTTTTCTTGCTGCAGTTGTAGTCAACAACTATAGAAAGGAAGGTATCATTATTGGCAACTGTCATAACCAGGTGGTTTGTGATATGTCACCTCTATCCCGTCATCATGGGAGTTTTGTTGAAGGTCAGAGCCAGTATTTCGGGGAAGTTGGGACAGTTTGAATCTTGTTTAAGTGACTATGAGTGTTTGGGAACTGTGCCCCCCCCCCCCGTGTGTTTTTCCTTTAACAACATCTCCATTTCCAATATTTATACTCCTCATATACACGAGTATGTGTGCGTGTTCCCTGTGTCCATTCTCCCTTTGTCACACATGTCCCCTTAAGTGCATTAATGCTTTCTCTGCTTTCCAGAGTCCAAATCCACAAATACCTGGGGTTCAAGTCCTTAGACATAATGCTCCTACCAGTCAACAAAAAGGAATAGACAAAGTGAACACATTGGGGGAAAAGATTAAACTTCTTTCTGTTTCATACGAAATACTGACGCTGAAGAAGGACAAAAGTAAAACTTACAGCACACTACAGAGACAAGGGCATTGATGACATCCAGCAGGTGATGGTCATCCATTCGAACAATATTTATGGCTCGTCTCAACAAGAAAAATTTAATGCCCTGTGACCTTACAACTCATAAGTGAAAAAAGCAACTTTTACAACAGTGCTGAAAACTCACATGGCATTGCCAGATATGGGTTGTAAAGATAAAAGAAACTTTATCGAAGTATCACTAATTACAATACACTTAAATAAACCATGACAGGAGAAAAAAAAATTCTTTAATGGCTTATCTTTCCCATAGAAATAGGATGATATGGGGCGCCTGGGTGGCGCAGTCGGTTAAGCGTCCGACTTCAGCCAGGTCACGATCTCGCGGTCCGTGAGTTCGAGCCCCGCGTCGGGCTCTGGGCTGATGGCTCAGAGCCTGGAGCCTGTTTCCGATTCTGTGTCTCCCTCTCTCTCTGCCCCTCCCCCGTTCATGTTCTGTCTCTGTCTGTCCCAAAAATAAATAAACGTTGGAAAAAAAATTTAATAAAAAAAGAAATAGGATGATATAGGGTCGCCTGGGTGGCTCAGTCAGTCAAGCATTTGGCTCTTGACTTTGGCTCAGGTCATGATCCCACGGTGGTGAGGTCCAGCCCTGCGTAGGGCTCCAAACTGCGCATGGCTCCTGCTTAAGATTCTGTCCCTCTCTCTGCCCTTTCCCCACAAGCACGTGTGCACTCTCTCTGTCTTCTCAAAAAAAAAAAAAAAAGGATTATAAATTATTATCAAATAAAGTAATCAAAAGTAGGGAGTCAGAATTTTAGGAAATAATATTTTTAAAGTGTTGCAGAAAGTTAATTGATATAATGTTTAAAATACTATTAAGTAATAATTATATTGTCATAATAATTATGTTATATAGTTATACTGTTTATTTGGTAATATATTGTTAATATACTATTTTAAAACTACTTTGTTATTTTTCAGCTTTTAAAATTTTATTTTTGATGGCTTCTCATTTTAAATAAATATTACCTTTTGTATCAAATTCTGTGTTTGCAATTTTAATTTTTTTTTCTTAAAGAGGACACTCCCTATAGGTTTGTATAAACTTCAGGTTCCCCAAACCAGGATTTACTCCGCACCCATATCTCATGTCCCTTCAGCCCAAGGACATATCTTTTGTCCGTCGTATGCATCAAAACCCCAAAGCCTTTGGATTCCGGGGCCTACACCCAAATCTGATATACCCCAGGCTTGTGGTGGCATGAATTCATTCACTTACTAATGTGGCTTTAATTCCCTCTGTGATGGTATCTAGGGCCTTCCTTCCCATCAAGGTTGGGCATGCATTTTTAACGCATATTTGAAAACAGCCTTTCTTCTTGGGGCACCTGGGTGGCTTGGTCGGTTGAGTGTCCGACTTCGGCTCAGGTCATGATCTTGTGGTCCGTGAGTTCGAGCCCCGCGTCGGGCTCTGTGCCGACAGCTTAGAGCCTGGAACCTGCTTCGGATTCTGTGTCTCCCTCTCTGCCTGCTCCTCCCTCACTTGTGCTCTGTCTCTCTCAAAAACAAAAATAAACATAAAAAATATTTTTAAAAAATAAAGCATATTTGAAAACACTTGATCCAGTGTCTTATGTGTTCAGAACAGGAAGGAATGTCTTGTATCAGCTTTGTCAGCTGCGTGGCTGGAAGTGAACACTAATTTTCTTCTGTAACTTAATTGATGCTCACATATCATAGGGTCCAAATTCCTCTTGAATAAACTAATGACAACGCCTACACAGGTCCTGTAATTTCCAATATGCTTTGTCTCACTTGACCTGTACAAGAACCTGGGGCATGTTAGAGGTGCCATCGTCCCAAACAGACGAAGGAAGCAGAGCCTGGAGATGTGGCTTCTCTGAGATGATGCAGCTGGAGCCTGGGAGGGCGAGGTTCCCAGGCAGCTGCCCATTCCTCTCTGGCCGCTTTCCACCTGGATCGCTACTGAAATAACTCGGTCTAATTCCCCCAATCCATGACCGCGCAGCCGCAGACCAAAACACGTGTTTGTCAAGCTGAGTCTGCCCTGGAATGGGGGGAAGGAATGAAAAGAATTCCCCCAGTATGGCACATCCCAGAATAGTCCCACCAGGTAAACATTCTTTCCTAATAGAAATCCGCTGGGGTGAAAAATTAGTACCTTCCCCAACGCGAGTCAACTGCTGTTGCTAAAATCAGAGCATGATGCGTTACCACTAAGCCCCTCTAAAAAGTGCCATTTCCAAGCAGCTGATGGCTTGTGGAAAGGACAGATGGCACCGGAGGCATCCGCCTCTGGGGGAGGGCTCGAGGGCTGGTCGCGGTCACGGCTGCTTCATGGGTCTGGCCGGAGCCTTGGAACCCAGGGATCATCTCTCACCCTGAGTCTGGAAGCTGAGTAACTGAAGGGAGGTTTTTCTATACTGACAGTTTCGCTTGGTTCCATAAGCCATCATTTATTACATTTTGAATTAGGAGGAATGTCAGAATCTCTTATCAAACCTGTTTCCCAAGCACAACGTGTCTCCCTGTAATTAATATCACAGGCTTCTTGCTCGGCTCCGCGGCCTTCTCGGCTGTGTTGCTGACATGAAGCCTGGCAATTACAGTTGTGATTTATACGCGGCTGCAGTTGAAGAGGCTTCTAAAATAAATACAATTTCTTTGAGGGGAAATCTGTTTTAGGAACTGGCTTTGGGGGGCGCCTGGGTGGCTCAGTCGATTAAGCATTCGACCCCTGATTTCGGCTCAGGTCATGATCTCACAGTTTTGTGGGTTCAAGCCTGGTGCTGGGCTCTGTGCGCTGACCTCGAGGAGCCTGCTTGGAATTCTCTCTCTCTGCCCCTCCCTCACACTGTCTCTCTCTCTCAAAAAAAAAAAAAAAAAAAAAAAAAAAAAAAA